TAAAGTATTTGTTGAGTTTAGGGCCATTTCTAATTATCTCAGAAAGGATCTGGTATAGATTTGTTTGTGGTACCAAATCAGTAACACACACCCTCCAAACAAATAGAATGGCAAACTGGGAAAACCCATATATTGCAAGGCTAATTTCCCTGATAATTATAGAATTTCTATAAATCAATGAAAAAAAAAGCAAACCAACAGGAAAATAAACAAAGGATATGAAGGCAGTTTTCAGAAAAGGAAATACAAAAGGCTCTTAAAACATGAAAACATGCTCAACTGTAGTTTAAAACTATGGGAATATAAATTGTATACAGAACACATAAGTCAAGGCAAATACAGTCACAATTAGCATCACTCAGATATAAAGTTGGCCATTATCCTTTCTTGGTAGTTCAACCTTTCCTTCCCTCCTTTCTATCCAAGGCTGTGTGATCGCGTCCCCGCCCCGGGCTTCGTTGGTGACAGGAGAAGCAGAGTTTGCATGTGTGGAAGCCATGACCACCTTTCACATTCAGTGTCAGATTCCTGTCATCCACCCTAAGCTTAGGGTCACCTTTTTTTGCCCACAGAAATCCTCTGAATCAGCCTCTTAAAGTGAGTTCGGCCACTTTTCTAGACATATCTCATTCATTCCCAGTTTTAATTCCTGTATGTTGGCTGATAATCTGAGCCTCTCCCAAATCACCACCTCCGCCAGGGGTTTCCTTCAAGTTCTCTATTCTCTTAAAAGCTTCAGGCGGAATTTAGTGTATGATAAGCACAAAATATCAGATCAGTAGAGACTGTATGATGGAATAAATGGCTTTAGGTGGCAGGATTATAGACAGCCACGTGGGAAAATGTGAAATCTCTCCTACAAAAACACACAGACACACATTGCATTTTACCTTGTAGACTGTGGGTTTCCTTTTTAATAATTCCTCTTCTACAGATTTACTTTTGGGAAATAATCAGATGTATGACTAAAGATGTATTTACCATATATTGATCTTTATGAAGTTACATATTTGATTATAGAAAGGAACAAAGGAGTAAAAAACAACAACTCCCTAGACATGGGAATATGGGATTGATTATTCGAATCAACTGTAGTATATCCAAGAATAACACAGATTGCAGCCATTAAAACACCCTTGGTTCCTTTATATATTCGTAGGAAAAGTCAATAATATTAAAATAGGCACAGAACCATGTTTATGGTATGACTCCATTTTGGTCCAAAAAAAATTTATTTATTTATTTATTTACTTACTTACTTTTTAAAAAGATTTTATTTATTTATTTGACAGAGAGAGAGAGAGAGAGAGAACGAGCAAGAGAAGCAGGAGAGGGAGAAGCAGGCTCCCCGCCGAACAAGAAGCCCCATGCGGGGCTCGATCCCAGTATCCTGGGATCTGACCAGAGCAGAAGGCAGACACTTAACTGACTGAGCCACCCAGGCGGCCTCCCCTTATAAAAAACTTTTAATAAGAAACAACCGCAAAGGTAGTTTAAATTTGAAAAATATTTATCCTTACAGTTATGGAATGCAGAATAAGTTTCTCTTCGTGTCTCGTTCTCTTTTCTCAGACATCGGCAGAGAACAAGCATTTCTATAATTCATTTCCCTTCTATTTGTCTGTTTAGTTTCAGATATCATTAAATCCATATATGAATTATGAGGAGTGCATTTTGGGGTATATGCTTCCAGAGCACGTAAATGAGGTGTAAATATCATTCCCATTAATTCAGGAATATCTTAACAAGCCCTAAAAAAATTTTTGTGTGCCCTATTCCATCTTTTTGGCACAAGGGATCCTATGGGTAACATTATCCCAAACCTCACATTCCTTGATCTTTGGCATTTGGCACACCCAGGGCTCCTGCCCAGAATTCAACAGATTAGCTCCCTGTCTTAGTTTTATTACTTAGGACGTAGTGCTGGGGAGATTGTTTTAAATTTCTCGTTAGCAGACCAGTCTTCAGCTGTGACTCTCCATGGGACTGACTTGGGGCAAATCTTAGAGTCTCTGAATACCAGGTGTGGGAGATTATGGCATCCAGTGTCCATTTTATAGACGAAAATATTCTAATCCTTGACTTCCTGTAAAGTGGGGAAGTTAAGATGATTTATAGGTTCCTTCTGGCTTATGATTCTGTGATTTCTGTTTCCTACTCAGAATCACGTAGTCCATCCACGTGGATCAGGTTATTTTCCAGGGAAGCCGATTCTTGATTTTTGGCTAAAAACTGCATATTCACAAGAGTCAAAGGAAGATGATCATACAATAGTGTAGACGGAACAGTGAACGTTTATTATCTTACTGGAAAAAAGCCCGTGATAACTTTGTGGTTGCTCAGTGGTGCTAAACACTGCTTCATTGTTGCGTGCAGACTCATCCAGCCCCTGTTACTGGCCAGGCTCTGTCTTCAGAGAGACAAACAGGAGTATTGCCCTCTTCAGGCTGTTGGAGGAGATGGACAGGGAATCGCAGCCGTACTTATTAAATGGAATTTGCTCTAGTGTTCCGAAGGGATCTCAGAGCTTCTGTTTTATGCTCCAGCAGTTTGGGATCCCCACAAAGGTGTTCAGCTGGGGGAGCAAAGCAGGGGCTGAAATCCTAACTCTTTCCCCAAGTCTGCCTGTGTTGGCCAAAGAGAAACAAGCCATTAAAAATCCAGTTCTCCTGGTGGGGCCTTCTGTAGTTTGCTGTGTCCCCTGTGTCCTAACGGCTGCCCTGTAGGATGCCCTAAGAGTTTGACACGGGGTACCTAACCTAGCCATGGTGGTGAGGAAATCTCTCCTAAGGAAATGACTTTCAGCTGAGACCTGGAGACTAAGGGAAGAAGGGAAGGAGAATGACCCAGGCAGAGGGGTCCAAGGCCCCAAGTTGGGGAAGGACTTTGAGGAAGTGGAAGAAGGTGCTTGTGGCTGGGATGCCGTGAACCAGGACAGCGGGAATGCGAACTCTGGTGGAGTTGTGGTGAGGTCTAGACATGATGGGATTCTGACCTGACTTTAAGAGCAACAGGAAAGCCATTTCTTTGTAAGACATTACTTAAGCGACTGACTTGTGCAGGTTCAATTAAACTTGATTATTATCCTCCTTTAATTCTAGTCAAAGCCCGTAGTCCTTTTTTTTTTTTTTTTTAAGATTTTATTTATTTATTTGACAGACAGAGGTCACAAGTAGGCAGAGAGGCAGGCAGAGAGAGACGGGGGAAGCAGGCTCCCGCTGAGCAGAGAGCCCGATGTGGGGCTCAGTCCCAGGACACTGAGATCATGACCTGAGCCAAAGGCAGAGGCGTAACCCACTGAGCCACCCAGGTGCCCCAAAGCCCTTAGTCTTGATCAGGATCATTTCCACTGGATGTGGGCAAGAATGCTGAGGCTGGCACCTTTGTGTTTCTTTGCAATGCTGTTCAACACACACCACAGAAAACATGTTTTCAAACTCTGGTTTCAGTAAACAAAGGGGATGTGAAGTCTTTGGACCATCAGGGCAGATACTGGTCACAACCGATACATTGCTGGTTCAGTGGGGAACCCCCTGCTGCGCCTCGCAAATCCCACCTTCTGGTGTCCTCTGTTGAGTGATGGAGGCTGAAGGTGTGCATCTTACCCACCACTAGGGCTCCCCCCCCCGCCCCCCGCCGCTGCCAGTTCAGCTTGCCTTCTCTGACATGATGAGCCAGTGGCCTGTCGTTTTAGGGGTGTGCCCCTGGTGTGCCGTTTGCGGGGACAGTGGGTGTGAATCTTCAGCCTAGGGGTGAATACCGAATCGTTTTTCTTCAAATAGCTCAACATTTTTTTTGCCTTCCGTTTTTACTGGGCGACTGGCTGGAATGTTTACAAATAGTTTGGCCAAAGGATTCACCATTTATTTGGTTTTGGAAGGAGACTTCAGAGGAGGGAGGAGAAAAACGAGCAAACCACAGAGTTCTGTTTTTTGTTTTTGTTTTTGTTTTTAAAAAAACAAACCCTGAAGATAGGAAAAGAGAGACCTCTGCTGGCCAAACTGAGATAACGCCCTGCCCTTGGTCTGTGACTCCAGGAGAAGCTGTCCCTCTGGTGGAAGCAGGTGTTGGCACGTTCATGGCTCCCTGTTCATTTCCTCAGCCATCAGTTCAGGGGTTTTTGGAGCGAATCTAAGTGACCTGTACTTCCCAGCTCAGTCCCGATTACTTCTGTTCCAGTCTCTAGGAAGAGTGTCAGTCTTTTCATATTTCTCAAAAACAAAGCTCTAAACAGCAGTGCCAGGGAAACCCTAGGCCTGAAACAGCTCCTACATCTTCTCTTTGTTTCCTTTCTCTTTCCTGCCCTTTGCCTCCCCGCCTCCCGTCTGACAGGGAAACAAAATCAAACACATCTTCCCTCAAAATCGGGAGATGGTGCTGATGGAAAGGGAGAGGGAGGAATTAACCACTTATCTGTATTCTATCCTCCACTGAATGTGGCAGCTGGGGGCCCAGGATTGGGGTTACACACCCGAGGGACTCCGTCAGTGGGAGACCCACTGCTCGTCTGGAGAAGACAGAGGGTGGTTATGTGGGAGGAGGGGGGAGGGGTAGGGGTCTCCTTGAGCCCTTTGGTTTGTCTGCAGTGAGGACCATGAGGACCAGGAGGAGTGCCCATGGCCCAAGTGCTTTACATACCTTAATTCTGTTTCCTGCTTTGCCTCTCTCTCTACAATCTTAAAACCATCTTTTTCCAGAAAAAAAAAAAAATAGGTCAGCAATTTAGAACAAAGCCTGCATAAAAATAATAGCTACGTGTGTGCTTGCTATTTTATTAGGTTTTTTTTTTTTTTTTTTGGTCTCTGGACTAAGCCGCACCCAGCCTGCATATGAGAAGAGGCTTTCCCTGGGCTCCGTGCTCTCTCCGTCCAAGAAAACACCTTGGGGCTGTGGTGGAGAGCTGCAGAGGGGCCTCCTGGTTCTGGCACTTTGTTTCCACACGATGGTTCCACGTCATGTCTCCCTGTGTCTAACCTGCTCTCACTCATTCTCCTAGGTTTTACCAACCTTTTCTGCATCTGCTAACACAGGAGCCATTGGTACCAAGTGATGGTCATTTTATGGCCGGCAAAGGACCTTAAATCATCTAGCCCAAGCCCCTCTTTTGAGACAACTGAAGCCCCGAGAGGTTGTCAACAGCCTAAAGTTACTCACCTCGCGGCTGGCTGAGGCAGGACCAAAACCCAGAGGCCCTGGATTCTGGAGGAGACACTTCCTTTAGGACACCCACGCTGAACTTGCACAGATGACCGTTGTGCACAGATGGTTTGTACTTTTACTTTCTGCTCTTTCTCCCTGGTTGCCTGTCCATCACCCCCTCTTCTAAGGCCTCCACTCCTTCATACTGCACACAGGCAAGCCTGGGCCAATTACTGTATCCACCAGGCAGCCCTGGGTGGCTTTCCTTTCCTCCCCACACTTTACCTCTTCTGCTTGCACCTGGTTAGTGCGGTAACAAATCCCTTGACTCACACCTTTACCGAGCAAGGCTCCCAGACCTTGTACCCTTCTCTGAAATGCCTATTGATGTTGGTATTCCTGGGCTGCTAGGTAGTCTTGAGTGTTTTTCATGTATGCATTAAGTTTGTGTATGTCGGAAGTTGCCTTATCCTTATTTTAACCCTCTTTGATTCCTCAGCATAGTACAGTGCCTTGGACTGGAAACACAGTCCCTTAACCCAGCAGAGTAAATCTCTGTAACTCTGGGAAGGCCAAGTACGGTGGAAAGCCAATTATATAGCCGTTTTAAAGCAGGGCGTCCTTTTCCGACTTTCAGATGATACTGTATAGTTTATAATATGGTGCCCTGGGTATCCTGTTAACATTTGCTAGTTTTGTCGATGACAAATCATCCAACCACAGAACTTCTTCATTCATGGACCTGGCGGTTATTGAAGGAGTGCCCCGAAAGTATGGTGCATTGCATTAGGCCCCTGAAGGCATTTGAAAAAAAAGTTTGACATCTGCCAGTCTGTCCCCTTCTGGCTGCCTGGAAGGTGGATAAGATGGATGCAACCTGAGGAGGCATCCTTTGTTTCTGAGGATAGAAGGTGCATTGTAGAGCACAAAGATCCTGGAACTATAGGGGGTGCCTTACCAGCTCAGCACCGCTTATCTCCAGAATTCCTTTAAAGAAAAGAAAAATACACTTTTATCTTGTTTAAGCCACTATTATTTCTGGTCTCTGTTACTAGCTGCCAAATGCAAATCTTAACTGATAGAGAGAAGTCCTTGAGGATTTTTGAGCAAGGGACTGATTCTGATTGGTAGCTATGCAAGAGATAGATTCCTGGCTGGGGGGCCGGGGTGGGGAGGTGTTCCGGGCCATACAGAGATAAAGTGGGCCTGGCAGGTGGGTACGGATAGTGGGGCGAGGCTTTGAATGAGGAGAATACACACATCTTGCAGGGGGTCATTGATTTTGTTTCTTTTCCCCCAGGACACCTCTGCTAAACTCCTGTTATATAGTGGCTACTTAAATATGTACTTCCTGAGTGATTTGCATTGTGCTATTGTCAGGTGGCCTGAAAGCTCGGGAGATTGAGAAGATGGGCATTCTTTGTGTCTTAAAAAGGAGCAGGCGAAAGCTGGCACAGGAAAAGCGTATCAGTGTTACAGTCAAGCGAAGTTACTATGTTTGCTGAACTCCTGCAGGCATTTCCAAGGAAAGGAACTTTTGTTACATGGGACTGTCTAATCAAGATACATTTGAAATGTATCCTCTCCTGGAGAGCAACTGTAAATAATATTTAAAAAATGTATCTTGGAGTAACTTGCAGGGTAAAGATACATTTCATGTGCTAAAAAACTTGTAAAAGGGGGGAAAATCTACTTTATTAACTTACTCTCAGCTTCCCATCGTCCTAGTACACTTTTCCTCTTGAGGTTGGGTGGGTAATTTCACACCTCTTAGATTAGAAGACATTTCATTCTTGTTTAAATAGGCTAGAAACATATGAGCGTAGAGCTATGATCTAGCATAATATTCCTGTGAACTAGCTGTGCTAACCTAATATCTCGGTCTCTCTGTTTCCTTAAAAATTTGTTGACAATTCCAAAGTTCTTCCAAGCCTGGCTCAAACAGGTAATTGGAAGCCTACTACAAATACCAAGGTCCCTTAAGGCATTGGCCTTCAGCCTTTATCTCCCTGCACATAGAAAGGCAGATGTGCCCAGTATTGCCTGAAAATTCTTGCTCGTTAATTATGTCTCCCCACTCTTGCCCTCATTTGGAAAAAAATACGTTTGACTGCAAGCCATTGGGGGTGCCTGGGTGGCTCAGTTGGTTAAGTGTCCCACTTTTGATCTCAGCTCTGGTCTTGATCTCAGGGTCATGAGTTCTAGCCCTGCATTGTTCTCCATGCTGGGTGTGGAGCCTCTTAAAAAAAAAAAATGCAAACAACTGAATATTAGGTGTACCTGGACTACCTGTTGCAAACTTCCATACTTTTCTACCAGCTCAATTTTAATAGCATATATGACTGTCCCTCGTTTATAGTGGGAAGAAACAGAAAAAAAAAAGATTCCAAATATTGGGTTTTGATTTACACCTCCCTGAAGTGCCTGGGTTGAATCCCCAGTAGTCTGATAAGCAGATGTTCTCTCCATACAGTTAAAGAGATAATAACACGAACCAACATTTCTGGAGCACTGTGTGCCGAGTCACATATCTACATTACTTCTTTTAATCCTGATGAAAATTCTGAGCAACAGCTGTCTCGACGAGAAAACTGAGCCTTGGAGTTATTGCTCACAGTCACATTAAGCAGCTGAACCAGGGCCCAAATTTAGGTCTCGCTGACTCTTTGCGTGGGTTTAGAGGGCATTCTGTTATTCTTGTAAATAATCTCAACGAGAGCCAACTGGCTCAGGGTGACACTCGATTCCAAATCATTCTCTTTTACTTTTTGCCAGATTGGAAGACTGTCTAGTGATTAAATATTTCTGGCCAGCAATATCTTGCCATTTATGGAAAAATGATACCCCCTAATCTTTAATAATTGTTTCATTAAGAACAAAAACAATGTGCCTGCTAAGCTTTGGAACGACTGCAGGAAAATCGCAGTACTTCTTGTACCTTCCTCTCTGTGTCTCCAGGGGCAAGATGGAAAGAAGAGTATCGCTTAGCAAAGTTGCTTTAGGAAGAAGACAAACAGAGGATGCTACTGAGCTATGATTAGTAGATAACTTTCTGTGGCAGGCTACAACCAGCACAGGACACTTTAAGGTCTGGAAACCCCTTCTTAAGGGATAAGGCCATTTTATGTACCCATAAGCTTGGAGAGCCTAAGAAAGGAGTTTTTAAAAAATACGAGCTTGTCTCAGAACTTCCTTTTGCTTTTTAGTTGCATAGAGAGTCTGGTGTTTCCAAGGCCGCCTTGTAGGTTAGGGAAGAAAACCCAATCCTCTCTTTGCCAAACTTGTTGATGTTAACTCTCCTATCTCCTACTTCATTGGCCTGGGAAGGGGGGACCTGGCTTGCTTTTGGGGAGGTATAGCAAGGTAAGAGCCAAGTGATGTTTGCTAATTTGGTTTTTTTTTTTTTTAATTTAATTTTATTTTTTCAGCATTCCAAGATTCGTTGTTTATGCACCACACCCAGTGCTCCATGCAATACGTGTCCTCCTTAACACCCACCACCAGGCTCACCCATCCCCCCACCCTACTAATTTGTTTATTTAGTGAGGGGGTCTCACTAAAGAAGTCATGTCTTTTGTGTGCCTGAAGAGTTCCTCAGGACATTTTCTCATTTATCTGGGTTTCAGGTGCTATTTTGAAGGTAATTTTGTCGAGAACAGTTCAGGCTTAGGTCTTCTTTTCAACCTGGCAGGCCCTGGAGACACCAGTTGCTTCTTGGGTGGGACTACACCCACAGCTAGGGGGAGCAGTGGGGTGGGTGGGCAGAGACAGAGTGGGTTACTTGAAATCTAAAGCAGTCCTATTTGCAACAACGTAGATGGAACTAGAGGGTATTATGTTGAGTGAAATAAGTCAATCAGAGAAAGACAATTATCATATGATCTCACTGATATGAGGAATTTGAGAAACAAGACAGAGGATTATAGGTGAAGAAAAGGGAAAATGAAACAAGATGAAACCAGAGAAGGAGACAAACCACAAGAGACTCTTAATCTCAGGAAACCAACTAAGGGTTGCTAGAGGGGAGTGGGGTGGGAGACATGGGGTGACTGAGTGATGGACAGTGGGGAGGGTGTGTGCTATGGTGAGTGCTGTGAATTGTGTAAGACTGATGAATCACAAATCTGTACCCCTGAAACAAATAATACATTATATGTTAATTAAAAAAAAAAAAGAAAAAATATAAATCTAAGGCAGTCTTCCTCAGCGGGCCATGGCAATGTCTCGGTGAACTAGGCCATGGCAGACTTGTAGGTAGAGTCATGGTCTTCGTGTAGGACGCCTAGCTTATGAGGGAAACTAATAACCTCCACACAAGGCTGTTGTCATGAGCCACTGAAATAATGTACCTAAAAGTGCTTTATAAATACATTATTATAATGTGGGAAAATGGTGGCTAAAGCAAGTGTTACAAAATGTCAGCTATTATTAGTAAGAGTGCAATTCAATATTAGGCCCACTTGGAGAAAGCTGATTTATCCAAGCATGGGTCGGTGCCTCATGTATTTGAAAAGTACATTTTTCAATACACTTGTATTTTTGAAAAGTTTTTTTTTCAGAATACATCCTCTCCCTACCTGTGATGTTCCTCAGCATCCATTCCCATCACTCCCCACTGTCTCCAATTTGCATCATCTTTTCATATAAATGCATTCTTCCGTTCAGTTTTAGCAGCTGGAACATGCATTTGGTTTCCTTAGTCGTTCTGTCCTGTGTGAAGCGAACATTGACTACACATTATTCTTTACTTCAGGAACACGAGGACAATTCAAAGCCAAGGGCATGTTGGAACACTGGATAATCTGATGTCACATGGCCCATGCTTGGAATAATAGGTATATTTTCCTCAGGCCTGGCATCTCAGACCTGCTTCGTAGGACCAGTGCCTCATTTCTAAGCACAATATTTCCTAATTACTCAAATGAGAACAAGACCATGTTGATATGATATAACTGCATTAGTGCTGGGCACGATTTCTTCTCTGGTTAGCTGACTGAATCATCATGATAGCTAACATAACTGTATGAACTGTGGCTCTTGCACCTGGAATAAGGGAGAATGACTTATGTAGCTTTGACGTTGCTCCTTTGCACAAAGTTCAGGAAAATATCTATCTGAGAGGGAGT